CTACCTTATAAAAATCCAAGCACTTCTACTCTAATTCAGCAGTACTCCAGCAGAACTAACAAGAAAAGAGTATGGAAATTTCTACCATTCAGCCAGAAGCCTGGTGTGTCCTCAGATAATCCCTTGTGGAGCTGGACAGTGGAATCAGAGCCAGGCTCTGTTGTCAGGGCACCCTGGCTGGTCAGAGGGATGTGTTTGTTCCCAACCACCCCTTACAGTGTCTCAAGATGAATGGCTCCACATTGACCACTGCAATTTATGATGGTCCCAGGAGAGATGCCATTTAAGCAAAAGGATGACACTGGAATAAGAACAAATGTGTCTAAACTGGACATAATTGCATTCATGCTGGTTATTAAAAGAAAACTCCTAATGAAGTTTTTGAAGAGCAGCCAAAATTATTAAAGGCGCAAAGAAACCCCTAATTATTTTTAAAGTAGAACTTGGTATGTTTTTTGGAAGATTTATTGAAGCTGGGCTGCAGAGGAGTCAATAGTCTCAGCAGTCCTTTAACCTTCTTCCCTCTGATCAAGGGTTCTCTTGGTAATTTAATGACATTTGTTAACTCTTATCCACATGAGACAGATCTCTACTGGGCTGATGTTCCTCTGCTGTGATTACACTGAGCTGGGCTCTCCAAAACAGCAGCAGAAACAGCCATCTCCCATATGCATAGTGATGTGGGAGAGACACCATTCTGTTTAATTTAGCGCTGAAAAGTCCACTACCTGCACTGAGGTGTATGAAAACTAATTTGGTCTATGCCAGTGTTGGTTTCATTGGAAAAATTCACCTCTAAAAATCACCTCCCCAACATACAAAAACAAAGTCTCCAAAACTGAGACTTTAAAATGAATCACATTCTTGAAAATCTCCTTTTTCCTCCAGTCACAAAATGGGGCTGGCAATACTTACATAGAAAATCCTCATGGCATGCAAGATCTTCTCTAAAAAGAACATTATTTGCCTAGTGATTTGCTTTTATTGTTCTCGTATTGAAAAAATATCTCTACACAAATTTTGGAGCGTTACACTGAGTTTATTTTGAAAAAGAAATCAAAGAATGTTTTTTTCATCTCTGAGCCAGATGGAAAAAAACCCCAAATGTATTCCACCCTAAGAAAGAAAACACATGACAACTTTCAAAAATTTTTTTAGCTGCCTTTTTTTTTTCTTTTTTCTTTTCACTAAACAGTATGGAAAAAGTGAGGTGGAGATAGTGAATGAACAAATAGGCTCTGTTTTTATGAAGGCTTGGTTTTTGGGGAACAAGGGTTTTGTCTGTAAGGCCCTGTGCTTCCCTATCTATAGATACCCAAACTACCTCTGAGTGAGTGTGAGTAAGCACCCAGAACCCTACAGCTGCCTCCTCCCTCCTGGGCCCTGGCAGGAGCAGGGTGTCTCAGGGCAGGGGAGTGCCAGGCATGGGCAGCTGTCCTGCTCCTGGTCCCTCACCAGTGTGAGCCCTGATGCCCGCAAGCAGCAGCACAGAGCCTGCGCTGGGGGCAACTGGGTGTTCATGGAGGAGCAAACATCTCCAGGGTGCACAGAGACACCCGCAGAAGTGAGGGGGAAAAAAGCAAAGCAAGTCTGGAGGCTGGGACTGGAGACATTTTGTTCCTTTTGGATGCTACATCTGTGTGAGCTGCTGTGCTTTTAACCAAGGAAACCGCACTGGGGAAAAGTGGTTTTGTTTTCTCACACGTGAATCGCCTCGGCTGCCTTTCCCCTACTCGCTGCGTAGCAGTTTCCTCCAACAGCTAGCGGCCACCCTCTGACCAGCTCTTCGCCTTGACAGTGATCAGAGACCAGTTCCTGCTACTTGCTAAAAACAGAGGAGCTACTTGCCAGGAACAGAAAATTAAAAGAGGAGGTCGGTCATCTGAGAGAGAAAGAAACGGCAAGATCAGATTAGCCATTATAAACAGCCGATTTAAGCTAGATGCAATAATGGCTAATCTAGGGACTGATCCTGTTCTACTTGAGTCAGGACATCCTTCACTCAGGGGCCCATCTGAGGTGCTTTGTGTGCTAGGACAGTGAACTGCAAGAGGGATTTATGCTTCTTAAGTCCTTTTTAAAGGTCTTGTTCAGCTCAGACTTTTAAAACCAAGGGGCTGCAAGAACAATGCACTAAAACTGCAATTAAGGGATAAAATAGCCACAGTCACGCTTAGAACTAAGACAGTGTAAGTGACAAGGAATGCTTTAATGAAAATTCATCAGTTTGATTTTTAATACCTACGAATGCTTCTGGCTCCACGTCTCTCTTGGTTACACAGCATGCACAGAGTAAACAACATTCACTTCCATGTCTCCGCTTAGTGCTTCCTTTATTGGGACATTTGCAGGTATTATTTATAGACATCAAAAGGGATGAGAGTTTGAGATTTATAAGCTCAAATCAGCTGAAGGTGTTTCCAAATAAATTAATGAAACGAGTCAGAAATGGCATTAAGAAATCCAGCACTGGATGTAAATCACAATTACACTGCACCCTGTCTTCCTTCCCCTCCCCTTCATGCAACAGTCATAGTGTTTGCCAGGGTATATGAACTTGCATTTAGTTTGATGTAAAACAAGAAAAAGGACATGGAAATGTGTACTCAGTATGCCAAGTTACAGTATTTGTGCATAAGAAGGAAAGCCAAAACTCGAGCTGGGACAAAATTTCCTATCTCTTAAAACTTTCCATAGAACTTGCATTATCGCTCAAACCATACAGAAAGCAGATTTAACGGGGACGTTTTCCAGACCCTGTGTGGCAGCTCTGACTTTCATGACAATTTCTTGGCCCTTTCTGGTGTCCTGCTTGCATCCCTGCCAATCTCTCCTTTCTGTGACAGGTTCCTGAGCTGTCTTTACACTCTCACAGTGCTCCTAGCGATTTCAATCTTTGTTGCCTTTTGACACCTCCATTTCCCTCCAGCAGGAATACTGGGTCAGAAGGATGGTCTGTCTCAGCCCGCCTGGCTGCTCAGGCCAGATTTTAAGGATGACTGAACACACCAGGCATGCAACTGCAGCATCCCTCTCCAGCCAGCTTTGCCTAACAGCTACACTCTTTGCTTCAAATGTGTGAACAGAAAGCTTGAGCCCAGGCACGTTTCGTTCCTCAGTTAAAGGCTGACAATCAGAACATTATTATAGATAATTACAACCCAGCATTGAAATTCACTTTGAAACAAGTATTTAATTAATAAACATGTTGCAACCTTAAACTGTCCTATCTGCCTGTAGTTTAGAATCATAGAATGAATCATAGAATGGTTTGGGTTAGAAGGGACCTTTAAAGGTCATCTAATCCAACCCCCTGCAGTGAGCAGGGACATCTTCCCCTAGATCAGGTTGCTCAGAGCCCAGTCCAGTCTGACCTTGGCATAGCTGCTGTGCTAGTTTTCAATGAGCTAAGCAGCTATTGCTGATAAACAGCCATTTCTGTAATCGTATGCAGGCATGAGTGCAGCTATAACTATTGATAACCACTGCTTAGAAAACCTCTTTAGAGGGAGTGGAGGACACTAGATGACTCTTGGATCACCTCATCTCAATATGTGCCATCACTGCTATTGCTGAAGGAAGAGAAGGATGAAACCAGGGCGAGGAAACAGTACAGCTGGGGCTTACACAGAGGTTTCACATTAACTTCTTTTGTGGACAGAAGTCTATCACATCAGTAAAAAGCAAGAACTTAATTTAACGTGGCAGATGCTCAGAATGGGCTTATTTCACCTAAATAAGCAACATTCAAAACAAAAGTAGCAGTGCTTCTAACTCAGTGCGGTTCTGCAAAGCTCCACTCACTAGGGTTTGTCAGAGCCTCCGGGAGTGCAGAGTAATAGTTTTGTACCTTGTTATCCAAAACCAGCACACTAACATTATCTCCATAGACACTGTGTAAATATATATGTAAACACTACAGCATGTATCTACACACGACTCCTAGGTACAGCATGACAGGGTGTATGGCAGAATCATGTTGCATTCAAGACCTGACGAAAAAGCCAAAATAAAAGTGTCAGGAAATTCAGACTGTCTGAAGAAAAGCCCTGCCTCCAAGATGGCAACACATGGTTTCTGCAGCTGTAATACACAGACCTTTCACTTTTAATTAAACAAATGCAATTGTCATGTTGTTCCGGTCTCATATCTAATACATACCACAGGATAGATTCCCAAACATAACATTTTGTGTATTTTCTTTAAGAAAATTACAGTTAAAATTAAAAAGCCATCTCCTTCAAATGAACACTGGAGGGAGTGTGGGATGTAGGAAAGCAGCAGTCTTTAATTTGTTGGTTTTAGGAGCAATATTTGAAAATGTGAAGTACAAAATCTCGTCTCTTTCCAACAGAGCTGGAGTATTTCAACAAACTTATCTGTATTCAGCCAAGGTAAACTGCAGGTCAGGAGGCAATGGAAAAACAACTCTCCTTCCCAAGAAGCCAAAACAACTTCCTTCCTGGTATAGCGTGTAGCTGTGCAAAGAGTATAAAAACTGGGAATAGAAACCAGGGTTTCTGCTAATGAACTTTAACTGGTTGCTAATTTTTAAAATTCCTGATAAGCAGCATTGCTGCCGAGACAACTGCTCATGAGACCGTGGAGGAAACTGGCTGGGTGATGATATAATCTCATTAGCCACAGTGCTTTCTTTTGCAGCATTATTTTATTTTCTACTTTGTTTGGGAGAGAAATACTGGTCCAAGAAAACAGAGAGATCGATTTACAAAGCACTTTGGAGAAGTGCAAGTTGATTAGACTTTTCTATGTATGGCATGTTTTTCTTACCAAATTTTGAAATCTCTTAAAAAGAAACATATTTCAGTGTGTGCAGCTCCTTTGTTTCTGTTTTCATAAAATCCTTCATCTGACCTTGACCTGCAATGTAGGTAGCACCTACTGAGTTAGAATTCCTCATGAGAAGGAAGAAGGAATGAAAACATTTCAAAATTATTCTAAAAACTTGGAGATTTACTTCTGTGGCATTTGCTCATGGGTAGAAGGAAGGCAGGAAGGCAGGCAGGCAGAAAAGGCAGGAAAGCAGGCAGGCTGGAAAGAAGGAGGGTAGGCAGGCAGGAAGGCAGGAAGGCAGAAAAAATGGCAGGCAGGCAGGCAGGTACAAGGAAGGAAAATCTTTTATTAACATGGTCTTTGCATAGTACCTTGATGGAACACCGGCTGTGATCAGAGCTATAATGAATATCTAGTCCTTAGTCAACTTAATTGTTACACACGCAGACTAGACTGCATATAATAAGGAAAACACTATCTAAAATCTGCTTTAAAAGTTATTTAACCAGAACAAATCATCTGGGAAAGTACAAATATTTCTAACTGGAAAAATATTTCTCTATAGCTGAGCTAGGCCTGACAGCAAACCTTAATGAATAATTAGTACTTTTATTGTTTTCTTTGGCCCCTGTGCACTATATTTGTAAAAAAAAAAAAAAATCAGTAAAAAAGAGAACAATTGTAAAAAGCAAATATTTTGTACAAAAATACAAAGTTTTAAAAGCTCTTAAAAGTATATTCCATATTATTGATGAGTTGGACTATATATATATATTTATATAAAATCTATATATTCGTGTATCTGTATAATTTTCCTACATTTGGGATTTTAGCAAATGAAACATACTGTTTACACAGTTGCTTTATATGTTTTTCTATATGAGTGACCAATAGTCTTACTCAGATTGACAGAATGTCTTTTCTCAGAAGACACAAGTTGCCTATGTGTGTAGTTACTGGTTGGGAAGAAAATCTGTAACAGTATTAGTCCAACGGTATTTTCTGATGTTGTGGTTTCAAAGGCCTCGAATAATTGCAGAATGCTGGAGAAGAGTTGCTGCTGAATTCCTTTATGCATTTAAACCAGTTTTCAGTGCTTGCTTTTGTTGTGTTTTGGGTTTGTTTTTTTTTTTTTTCTGTTTTGTTGCTCTCCCCCAGGATTTTCTTCTTCTTTAAGTAAATTTCCATAATATGTACGTATCTGTAAAGTCACAGCCTATTACGCTCCAAATATTTGCCCTACAGTATGAGAGAAAACAGAAAAATGAAGAGAAAAAAAAAAAAAAGTAAAAAGATTAAATGCATTTCCAAAAAGAAAAAAAAAAATTAAGTGGACTCATTCAGATCCTGTAAATCCCAGAGAATAAATATTTGTAAACCATTGTTTTCCTATGTAGGAAAAGTAGGGCAAATTACATTGGTACTTACACATGGTCCTTCACTCTGGACGCCCAAACAGAGTTATAGACACACAATGCTTATTCAGTACTTTTGTTTTGTTTTAGGAGGGCATTTTTTGTGGATGGAGTCTAATTTTGGCTTTAGCTGACATTTCCATCTGCCTTCACTGAAATTCGGCCTACATGTTTGCAACTGGAGCAGCCAAGCACCCTTGGCAAAGCAATGTTTAAGTAGGTTGTACGGAGGAGAGAATGTTTTGGGCAGAGCCCCACCACAAACACAAACACCACCTAGCTCTTTGATGATGGGGCTGGGCTCTGAGCAGCCATGTGAACCACCTGCCCTCTGCCATTGTAGAAATGCCTGTAGAACCAGAAGGAGATGCCCCGTGGTAACCACCTGGGTGACTGCTGGGGCACATTGTCAGTTTATGAGTCTTTCACTCCAACTGCAACAGATGAGTTGCTTATGGCCTGCGGACCTGGCCTCTCAGCCCTACAGGACATGTCCTGGCAGCAGTGGGAATTTTAAGATCTCCTTAGCAGTCATCAAGTGCCTCCTGTTGCATAAACTCTAAGAACAGAGTCTTTTTGTTTTTTGAAGGCTGGTCCCTGAGCCATCCTAAAAGCCAACTTCCCCCCTGCGTAACCGTCGAGTCTATAAAAACAGCTTCCAGTGTGGCCAGGGTCTGGCTCGTGTGCCAAATCATGCTTGAAATTTTAAGCATCTGTAAAGTCTACAGGCGATGGTCCACATGCAGAGCATGCTATGCCTACAACCAGCTTGAAGGCTGCTCTTTTCTTGTGAAAGAGCACAAGAGCGCAGGGTTTATTGCAGTAAATCCAGCAGCTGCATCATGCAGAGTATTAGAAAAGCCCATGTTGGGCTGGATCTGAGTAGAAGTGCTCCAAGTGTGATTCCCCCTCTTCCTCAACAAGGCACTGCCAAAGCATCTAGCCTTACACCTGGGTCTCCTCCCCTCTAGCTGTGGAAAATTTACTTGAATTTGGCCTGCTAGGGGTAGGGTGAAATAATCAAACCAAGCACCTTGCTCACCTTTGTCCATGTCTTTTTCACAAATGAAATTGTTAACATCTTCACAGTAGAAGTCATTCCAGAGCCCAGCATAGATTAATCCAGCACAATCTTCCCCTGGCCCATGCCCGTGGCTCCAGTTATCAGGTTGCCCAGTTTTCCAGTTCCTTTCAACCAAAAAGCAAGAGATATGATTGCACAACGCAGCACACGTGACAGTTTTTCACCACAAGAAACTAACGAAAACATCATGAGATCTGTTCTGAACGGGAAATACACGTTGAAACAAACAATACATGACTCTTGCTGAAAATGGAAAACAGATGTATTACAGAGAAGGGAATCTATTCGGCTCCAGGCTGCCAAAACTCAGAGACCTAAAATTAGACTGATGAACTTTATTTTAGTTTCTGAATGTACATGCACATACAGTAGGAGTGCTCCATACTCCACGTGCATTGCTTCAAGCCTGCAAAGCCTGTGCACTGTGTTCCAGCCGGGAGATGGGACCGAGAAGAGCTGGCAGGCTCACGAGTGCTGCCCAGGATGGCAGCACCCTGCCATCACTTGCTGTAAAGGCACTCAGCCCTCTGACTGCACAGAGGTGGGCCTCTCAGGAGGCATGGTGATGATTTATCTGTTTTATGGACCCATGTTTGGATGGGAAGTGAATTTTTTGACTTACAAGGAATGAATAAAGTATACACACATGTATCTTTCAAGATCATTAGCTTTGATGGTGAAACTTAACGCAGCATGTAAAAAGCTTGCAGCAAGCGTTTCCTCATCCTGTTTTTGTTTAACAAGTGAGAAACACTTCCAACCTCAGGACTTAAAAGCTCCACTTTCCTGAAGAAACAGGTTGTTGAAGGGAGCTTGTGATTGCTGGCTGATACTGTCCGTGCTCAGCTGAAAAACATGCCTGCCTGACACAGAGCATCTGACCAGGCACCTGGGAGGACACACAGCTTTCCAGAAGTAATGAAATACTTTGAAAATCAGTAACTGACAGCTCTGAGGTTATGACAGGACACCTAAAACCACAGTGTAACGGAAACCTATTGAAAGCAGTGAGTGAAGCGGGAATCAGTCACAGTGCTGCAAAAAAGAGAAAGAAAGATGAAAATGGGGAGGGAGAAAAAGGGAAAAATATTATGGCTCATTTGAAATATATCTGACTTTTTCCATGTTTCTCATCAAAATGAACACCAGTGAGATCACAGCTAATCATTTTGTAACATCTGACTGACTGTAGCCTGTTTTTCTGGAGCACAGCATGCTCAGCTCTATAAACTCTTTAGTCCCCTCCTCAGTATTAAAAATTTGGGTGGTTGCAATCTGTTCCATTTAGAATAAATTAGGTGTAGCCCTAGGATTCCTGGAGAGCTGCCAATTAAGTTCTCAGCTGGCCAAAACTTAGACACCCTTGTTTCATGCATTTTCCTTGTGTTTAATGCTTTCCACTTGGATTTGGGCTTATCTAAAGGCTGGTCATTTTTTATCAGAATGAGCACTCTATTTATAGCCAGTTGTAATGCAAATAAGGAAACTTCAAACCAAGACAGCAAAACTGTCTGTGCTTTCCATCTCAACTTTGTAATAAAAGTCAGGAGCAAATGTTTTGGCAAGAAACACTGTGCTATGTAGCTCTGTGATTCTTTCATTCAACATTCAGTTTTCTTCCTGGCAAGAAAAGAAAGCCTTGTGCGTGGAGAAGGGAAGCAGAAAAGCCAGTTCAACAGTACCCTCAGTAACAAATTGTTTAATTGGCATCTACAACCCTCTGGATCCACTGGATAATTTCCAGATTCTGCTTATAGAAGTGTCAGCAAGAGTGGTAGCATCTGCAGGAAATGAATGCCATTGTTTTTTATTTACGTACGTGTAAACTGGTAAGGATCCATCCAGCCATCTCCATTCATTTTCCTTCTCTGAATCTGTTAGTCCAATCCAGAAGCTGCCTTTCCCCAAAATCTGCCTTTTTATCCATTGCTGCAGAAGAAAGATCTTAGTCCATAACAAAAATCCACAACTGTCTTTGGAGTCAATAAGCTATCCTGGTTTCATGAGTATCTTTGTTATCAGAACAAGGCCAACTCCTGAAACGTATCTTCAGCTTAGAAAAATTTCTTTGGCCTTGTGGCCCCTTGCCCACGCTAGAATCCATAGCAATGTTTGTATGTGAGATAAAGAGAGCTAGTAATGAAAATTAGGTTGACATAAAATTACAGCCAACATCTTATACATACAAATTGAAAAAAACCTGAAGAGTAAGCAGTAGTATTTCGACATTCCCGCTGCTACGCAGCCTCCAAATAATTATGCTGAACAGTAGTAAAAGTATAGCTAGACTTATAGTTAGATTAAAAATATTTTTGAGCCACAGTAATCTCAGGCTGTGAAGCAGACAATTTAAAATTAAATTATTTTTACCACTGCAAAGAATACATTTTGGATAATATGCAAGGCCTAATGGACTCCATCTTTAAAAGTTAAAAACTCCTACAATTCTCACCAACCTTCCTGACTGTTCTGTGCCCACCACCTTCAGGGTCAGCACCAGCTCTGCTCACACTGCCCTTCTGCACATGGAGAAGCTACTGAGCAGACAATCACTGAAGTCAATCACTGTGTCTGCTTCACTACATGAATTCATAATGCTCTCAGCTTCCCATTTGCCTTGTGGCTTCTGCATGTTAAATAACCTCAAACTCTCTCCTTGAAAAACAGAAAGAGAAGGTAATTACCTGCTCCTCTTTGTTGTTTATGATAACCAAGCGTGATGCCTTCTCTTCACAGAATAACTTTGCCTCTTCAAAAATCTCTCTTTCATTTGAAAAGTAATAGCACTTTTCTGTATAATTCTTCCAATGAGGAGAACAACCTGTCATACGAATTTTTTTTTTAATTAAACCAACCACTGATAAATCAACAGGTCAGCAACTTTCTGCATAGGACAAGTAACAAGGAACCCATACGCATCTACAGCATGCTGCCATCTAACACACAAGGATTTACTTACCTGGATGCTGACTCTGTGAAATCAAGACTGAACTGTGTGGTCAAGGGGATTATTTAATTACTTGTACTACTGTCGCCTTTTCTTTAGCTGTAAACATTAACTTAAATCAGATTCATGTCATCAGAAGGAAGACCAACAAGTATGGCTTCACTTAAGGGCTCTTTGTGATAAATCCCAGAGATTTAGTTTAAGGTAGCAGAGGTTATTTGAACCAGTAACTAAGTGGTGAGCACCCTCTGCTAGATCATAGAATCATAGAATGGTTTGGGTTGGAAGGGATCTTAAAGATCATCTAGTTCCAATCCCCCTGCCATCAGCAGGGACACCTTCCACTAGATCAGGTTGCTCAAAGCCTCATCCAGCCTGGCCTTAAACACTTCCAGGGAGGGGGCATCCACAGCTTCCTTGGGCAACCTGTTCCAGTGTCTGACCACCCTCACAGTCAATAATTTCTTCCTAATATCTAATCTAAACCTGCCCTCTTCCTGTTTAAACCCATTTCCCCTTGTTCTGTCATTAACTGCCCTTATGAAAAGTCCTTCCACAGCTTTCCTGTAGGCCCCTTCAGGTACTGGAAGGCCACTATAAGGTCTTCCTGAAGCCTTCTCTTTGCCAGGCTGAACAGCCCCAACTCTCTCAGCCTGTCCTCATAGGAGAGGTGCTCCAGATAGATGCAAACAGATATATTTGTACGTCAGTAAAAGGCGCACGCGGTGTGTTGATAGCTTACCATTAGCCTCGGGCACTGACGTAGGTTCACTTTGAAGTGCCATTGGCATCCCTGGACCTGGTGGCCCTGGTGGGCCAGGTGGGCCCTTTGGACCAGGCAGCCCAGGGACTCCAGGTAGCCCAGGTAGTCCTCGAGGTCCCGGTACCCCTGGCTCTCCCACAGTTCCTTGCAGGCCTTGAAATCCTGGTGGGCCTTGGGGCCCAGGTGGACCATCTTTGCCTTGTGGACCTGGTGGCCCCGGGTCTCCGCTTGGTCCAGGCAAACCCGTCTTGCCAGGAGAACCTCTCTGACCTTTGGAGCCAGGCGATCCTCTTGAACCTTTACTTCCTTTTTCTCCTGGTGGCCCAGTTGGCCCAGGTGGGCCCTTCTCACCTGCAGGTCCTGGTGGTCCGGGCTCTCCTCTCTCTCCTTTTTGTCCTTTTAGGCCAGCGGGGCCAAGAGGACCTTGAGGGCCTCTGTCACCTTTAGGTCCCCTGGGACCAGGAGGGCCTGAAACAATGCAAGCATTAAAAGTGGGGATACAGTCAGAAAACAAAACGAAAAGTGCACATGGGGTCCTTGTTTAATGTATCTCAGACCAGCAACACTGGTTATTCAGCGCTGTGAAAACCGGGCTCACAGCTACTTCAAGCCATGCTCGTAAAAGTACATCTGCTTCCCAGGTGCTGTATAGCACTGCTCTTTCCTGAGCCTCCATGAAACGCAGGATACAGAAGAAATAATCTGATGCACCTTGTCCTGTGAACTGGACAGTGACACCATGGCCCAGAGGAGCAGCTGAGGCACCAGTCCCTGCAAGACAAGCTCCGTGCTGCTGACGCACATGGTCCTGCATGTTGACGCTCCCGTTCTCTCACTCTGCTACACTCCCTTCTCCTTCTAGCCCCATCTCTCTGCTCTTAGACTACAGCACTCTTTCTCCTGCAATGGCTTTGTTTGCTGCTCTGACAATAACAGGTTGTCAGAAAGAGGCAAAGCAATGGATAGTGAGTAATTGTCCAACTGTGGGAAAGACCAGAAGTACTATTTGCTAACTGGCTGGCTCTTACAGGAAGGAGAACAATACACGATAGGAAACGGCAATATTGTGGCAGCAATAAGCAACAAAATCATTTTGGATTCTGATCACAGATGAGCAAATGTCTTCCCAATATCCCCCCTTCACCAATCTACAAAATTTAAACTCCTCCAGAGATAAATTCCTAAACTGGAGTCATTTAGGCCTGGTTGAAATGAGAAAGGTTAAGGTTACTGACATGTACTCTTGGTTCTAATTTGGCCTTAGTTTATTTGGAGCAGTGGACTAAAGATTTAGGTCTGACTGGTTCACATCAGGTTGGAAATATGAGTGTTCTTTTCATTTGGGATGATACTTGGCTGGGAGAAACCTCCTAAACTTGAAGCTATTTATTTCTGGAGAAAATAAAATATTCTCGGATTAAAAACTAAGCAAAGTAGGATGTTTTCTGGCAGACTAACAACTGGCTTAAAGTGAAATAGCAACTTGTTTTTCAGTAAGGGTGGACCTTTCTGGGAATAGTCCAATGTATATTTTTTAGCCATTTCCTCCTTAGCAGGGATTGGTTTCTTGAGGTTCCACACCTTCCCTAGCTTATTTTAGAAACTAAATCAAAAGCAGATCCAGTCGGTCAGTCAGTCAGAATGAAATTTTGCTAAGTCAGAACCTTCTTTCATAACATCCCCATTCTAGGTATGTAAAGAAGGCATAGGAAAATTAGTTAAGGAAAATTCAAGCTACGTTGACATTTCCAAAGTTTAGGATTAGATAATGAAAAACCCCAGCGCTCTGTACCAGCATGCACTGACTCCCACAGAACTAAAGAAGTAATGCAAGCAGGAATTCGGCATAGACCATTACAGGCATCATTAGGGAAGCTGCATACCTTGTAGGATAGTGAAATTCTTGATGAGCTGGCCATGTTTGGAATCTACCAGCTTCATTTCTTCCATGATTACTGACAAATTGGCAACTTCAACATCTAACCTTGACCTCATCAAATCCTGTTGCATTTTGAGAGATGCAGAGTCTAAGCGGATATTGGCTAGTGTGCTGTTCATAAAAATCAGCTCATCTGAATGTTTACTTAAAGTGTCTGTACAAGTTGTCCTGACCTCATTGAGATTGCTAGTCAGTGTCCGTAGATGATGAGCTGTGTAGCTGATGTTGCTAATGATATTGACTATATCGGTTTCAAAGACCTGGAACCTCTCTTCTAGCTGGTTGAATTTGGCAGAAGTTCTGTTTTCATATTCTTTATGCTGTTCCTGGAGATCCTTTAGATTTTGTTCGTTGGCTTGGGCAACTGTGGTGATGTTCTCCATTTGCCCACTGAAGGAGCTGAGCTGATTGTTCATGTCTTCAAGTGTATCATTGTTAGCTTTTGCCAATGCTGAGTTGTTGGCAGCCAAAGTCTGTAAATTTTGTACTTTCTCCTTAAGCCAGTCGGTGTCCTTCCGGGCTTGAAGGACAACCTGCTGCAGATTTTGAAAGTCATTCTTGATTCTTAGAATAGCCAAGCTTGTATCTTCCATTGACTTCTGCAGGACACTAATAAGATTTCTTTGCTGTATTTGTGTCAGGTTTAAGTTGTTCAGGTTCATGATAACCACATTATGAGAATGCACTTGGTTTTGCAGGTTTGTTTGGATATTACTTGTGTCTTGTTGAAGGTTGTTTATATAGCCAGTATATGCCTGAAGAGTCTTATTGACACTGATGATCATGAAAGAGTTACTATCTAAGGCACTTCTCATTTGGCTCTGTCTGTCATCTAACACATTTCCAGACTCCTGCAGCTTCTCCAGTGTATCTTTGTTTCTGTTAGTTTTCTCTGCAATGTCATGAAGCTGCTGACGAAGAGCCAGAATGTCAGATCTGAAGCTAGACAGTTCAGTGTTAGTATCCATGGCTTTTTGTCCAGCTTGGTCATCTGTTATACATGAAAAAAATTAAAAGGCTTTAGGAAGAGTTTTTTTTAAAACATAGTCTTAAAAAAGCACAGTGTATTTTAAGTACAGTCAGTTTATCAAAATGTTCTGTCAATACAACTTTTATGTTATCTTTTCCAGAAAAGAGAAACCACTAAGCAAAAGAGGAATCAGTGGAGACCTGGTGTCTTCTGAGGAGAACAAAATTGTAATTCTATCATCATATATGGGAAAAACTGCCATTAGAAACTGATAAGTATACACAGTCAAGTTGTGCTGTATTCTGAATGAAAACTGAAGGGTAAACAGAATTCAAAATATTAAAGAGGTATCAGTTAGTGTATGTTTTGAAGTTAAAACTGAATTTTGCTGAAAGCTCAGAAGTAAATTTTAGCTGTTTATATTTTCTTCCTCCTTTTCCCGGAGGTGGAATATCTTCATTGCAATTTAGTACATGTAGTTCTATTTTTTAAAATCCATTTTGTAAAATATTGAGTTTAGTTTTAAAGAAGTTATAATACCTATTTCAAAACAATATGGGTTAGAGACAACAGCTTTGCCAGAAGACTACTCCAGATATGACAGGATATGATGTATTTCTGTTTTGCTCTCTAACATATTACTATTGCTTTTAATGACATTTATTTTGCTGTCATTGTTTCCTCCTATGTTCTTTACATTGTTTTTGCTATTTTATGAGTTTGAGGAAGGCAAAACCTTTAATCTTTGAGGAACATCTCTGCTCCTGCTTATACTGCCCTACAGAATACTTGGAAACTTGTCCAAGTATGATTAAGCTTTTAAGCCTGCACAGCTCATCAGCCAGGACATAGAAACCAAGGAAATAAGCAGTCAACACTCACTTTCGGGGAAAATTCCCTTTCTTGACCTCAATCACTTCCATCTCCTACACACAGTCCATATATATTTTGTCGTCATCTAAGTGTAGCTATATTTATGAATTATGCAGTCTGAAGTCCCTCATTTCAGATGACTCCAAGAGAGAGCAGGATGGTTTTTATCAACTACAGTGAATACAGCTGTGTATGGAGCTTTTTTCTGGTCTGTTTGAATGAGTCATGATGGCAAACATCAAATGGTGGCTTGTGAGACTTCAGTCTGAAGTGTTTATGGAGCCTTTCATAGATAGACATCTTCCCGAGCACAGTTCCTCTCCCTGCCGCTTGTCTCACTCCAGGATCTTCTCAGCTCTGACTATATGTTTATTTCTTGGTTATAGCTCAAATTATATTGTGTTCCTCACAGAGCTCTGACAACTGCCAGGTCCACATACAGCTAATCCCTGAAGGCCTGTCTTTAATTCACCACATGTTGTTATCCCTTTGGCCCTACAGCAGTTCTCTTACCTTTATGCCTCCCACACACATTTCCCCATAACTTTTTTAACTTCCTCCATGGCAAGTCCACTTAAATGGGAACTGATGGTCCTGAGCATCTCACTGGCCATCCATCCAGCAGTGTGCAAAACTGTGTGGGCGTGAATGAATCAAAGGTGCCCCAAGTTGTGAAAATTTAATCAACATAATATAAGAACCCAAATATAACCAAAACAGTTGCATGTGCTTTAAGATGTACTTCTGGATATGCATCAGCAAAAGTACATGCCACTGAATTATCCCATGTCTTTGAACTAAATGCAGTGTGCAAATACTTCAGAATGCATCTATTTTTTGAGGGGAAAAAGTTGTAAAAATTTATAATCAAGCTGCAAGCAAATAATTTTTCCTAGAAATACATGTCTCAATATATTGTTTATAAAGCTAAACAAAATTTATTTAAAGAAGCACATGCATATATGTGTATATTAATATTTATATAAAAACTAATTATATAAACTGTAAGTCTATGTATATATAAATTGATAATAAACAGCTCTGCTTCCTTTCCAGACAAGAAAGAAAGAAAGAAAGGTAGAAATGTGCACTTAGTGAGTAGAATCCTTATCCGTGATCTTTTTCCATCTTCTTGCAAATTGACAACTGTGATAGCACTTGGGAAACTTGAACTCATAGCAACCTTGTGTCCTGTATTCCCTGAGATGATTAAGAAACATTTTATGGAAGTAATCAACTTATCTCCAACATAAGAGTTTTGAACAGTTTATTATTTGTGTACCTCTTAAAATGGCCTTCAGTTTTGAATCTTAATGGCTAAAACAGCATCATCATGACTGGGTAACAGATTTTCATTTTATGTAGAATCTCTTGTGCTGTGGAACAACTTCTGCTATGTTTTACATCTCTACCTCAGAGAAGACTCTCTCCTGAGGACAACCTTTAAGTGTCTGTTTATTTTAGTATAAATAATTTCAGAGTGACTTCAGTGGGAACTGTAAATATTAAAGTATGCCTAAAATGCTGTCCTAAGTAGAGCTGATCTTAACCATTTTAAAGTGCTTTCCCAAGTACTTGAGAAACTGGAATAGAAGTGCTGTATCTTGTCACAGCCAGAGTTTTTTCAGACAAAGTTCTGGCCACTATCTGCCAGAACACCCCAAAGCCACAATACAAAGGGGTTTTGCTTGTGTGTAGATTACCTAATTTCTTCAGACCACTCTCCACCTCTGTGAGCTTTTCTGTATATCTTCTGTGGGATGTTTCCAGACCACCTGTCACATTGTCCATTTTTTCTACAACTAGGGGAAAGAGAACAGTATGTTACAGAAAGAATAAAAGTGAAATTATAAAAAAAGTCTAGTAAACAATAAAGCAAACTGAAAAAAACACCACTACCATCAAACAAAACAAGAAACCACCGTAGTATTGCCTTGCTTGCCACTACACTGCTGTTACTCTGTGAAATGTTGGAAGGATGAGTTCCCATCTGCTGGTGGGACCCAGCATTCTTCCAGTTCTTCACTCTGCCAACAGTCTCCAAACATTTATTTGTCCATGAGCAATCTCTCTCCTGAATGAGCAAATTCCTCTTTGTGAGTTTTCCTCATGAACCAAGTCCTTTTCTTTTGACAGTATGTCCGTGCTCCAAGCACAGCGCTGTGTGGCAAAGGCAAACTGATTGCTAAAGGCTCAGACAGATGAGAGAAGACTTCCTTTTATTTTGCTACGAACCATTTCTCCTTAAAAAGAACACATTTTTTTTTCCTGTGCCTTTTAATAATTAAAAATTGCCACCTGGCTAGCAAACCTTGGTCTGAGATAGCAGTTTGAAGATGCAATTACTGAATGTTTTGGGGATCAACTTTTAAACGTATTGATAATGGTACAGGTCACTCAGAACAGTCTTGAAACCATTTTGCCTCATTAAGATTAAAAGGATGATCATTCAGCAAGTGCAGATTTATGGCTGATGTGCACTTTATTTTGTAATATCTAAGTCATTTTCTTGTCACTGAGACAATCTGATTATTTGATGAAATTGATATGGAAACGGAAAAAGCAGAGCAACAAATAAAGAGCCCAGAGTGGCTTCCAGTGACAAAATGTGAAAGGCTTGCAAGATTAAAGGTCACCTTCCGCTTCACAACAAACCTAGTCTAATACACTTTTGCATTCAAACCACAACCAGGGAACAGATTTCTTCTCCATCAGCAGATTATTTAGCTCTTTTGCTACACTGGGAGCAGAATGGATCTGCACCAGTCTGGGGAGAGGCTACATGAGTTATTGTGCCAGCCCCTACTTTCAAAGAGAAGAAATAAGGTGTTTCTAATGTCTTGAGATAGTGAAGCCAATTTTGTAAACCTGTGTGGGTTAGGGGCTACTGCTAAGTCTTTCTGTCCATGAGATAATCCACAACTCGGAAATAGTCTCATAGAAGTTGCTGCTATGCAAAGATTTGTTTTTTCACTAGAAGTGGAAATTTAGGGGATCTTTTGCTGCTCATGAGAAACCACAAGAATCCTGGAGCTTTAAAGTGTAGTCCACTAAGTGCTCCTTCTCTATTAACTTTTTTTTTCTGACTCTGTGTACCACAGTTACACAGCACGCTTTCATTGCTTCCCCAAAACCAACAGGAGAAACAGGAGATCATTATCTCTTGTGCAACTGCACCAAGGTAAGTGGAGTTACAACAGAGAAAAAGTCTCAAGGTTTTCAGAGAGACCAGACACCTTTTGGTGAATTACCTTCCTTCTCCTTCCTATACTGCTAACAAGCCAGTAAAACAGAGACAGCTATGTGCTTAAAGACAGAGTCAGAGTGGGCCTGGCTGTATTTGGGATGATGGCACATGGCTTGCTAAACACCAGATCCAGGCTACAATAATGGCTTTGCTTTTTCAGAGGGACCATTGCTCAGTACCTTCTGCTTTAGAAATCATGTTTCCCTCCGATATAGCACTAATGTTTCACTGGTTCTTCTGCCCATTCAAATTATTTGTCAAAATGCTGTATGCCATTTTTCCTAAATGAAGCCAGAGTTGATTCTCTGGTTGTCCTGCCCAACTGTCTTCCAAGCTGGAGCCCAGATCAGCAAAGGCCTTTTAGTTACTTCTAACACTCCACTGATGCGTGTATACACCTATGCATCACATGCTGTGAGCAGGAAGACCATACTTGGCTTTTCCTTCTGGCTAGCTCTAGGCAGCTCCTTTTCAGTCTGTGGTGTTCTGCTTTGTTTCTGGATACTCACTGTGAAGGACATGGTTCACTGTGAGCATTTAGACAGGACCTCGTGAAAGCATCTGGATTTAAAAAGCAGGCCTACTCCAACTGTTTCTTCTGGACTTGTGCCTGGACTAGCAATGTCACATCACCTATGGGTCTTGTTAATTTGTATTTAGTTCACCTGTTTTCTCCAGTTATGCAATACACTTGGAGTAGCAAATGAATATATATTATCAATAATGAAAGGAAAATGTAGTTTCTTCCTTTTGGTGTTCAAATGAATGCCATTTCAGATCTGAAGTTTGTAAAACTGAGATTTTATGGTGTCCTAAAACAACAAGAATATTTTCACAGTTGAGTGAAATCTAACACTGGAAACCTGGGTTAAAATATTCCCCTGAAGAGTCCAAAGCAAATGAAAATAGTAGAAATACTATCAATATGTGGTAGCCTGTACTGGCAGTTAGATGGGATTGGATGGAATTAAAGATACAGCAGCGTATAATATATTCATTGCCAAAACAACAACAAAAAAACCAACCTACCCTACACTAAAAAGACTAAAGCTGGTCTGTAGCTAAGGACATTCTTTGTATGGAACACCCCAAAAATTTGTTGAAGCAGGACTTCAATCAGAAGTCAATGTATTATTGACAATGGCCATGATATGTGGGGAAGACTGCCTGGACTGTGTCTGAAAGATCACTAATGAGCACTGTTAAAAGGTCTTTCAGTCCCCAGTAGCTTGTCTCCTACAGAAAGGAAGAGCTTTTAATTCTAGTGTGCAACTGGATGCCAGACAACAGTCCTGGATTGAGAGGGCTGACATGACACTTAGCCTGGAAGATGCTGGTTTAGAGAGGTTGGAAAGAGAAGGCTGCTTTCAAAGAGACACGGTATTGATTTTTACCTATTTGACACTAAATTGACAATGACTTACCTAGATTAACCTATGTGAAGCGCAGAACTAGCTATATCAGGCAAACCATTTCCTTTATTTTAATTCTGTTTCCCCTCAGATGGCAAGTCAGTCCTGTCACGTGAAGTATAGAGGAGAGAGACCAGAGCCAAGTTCAAACCACCCAGCTCCAGCAGCAGAAACAGTAGAGGTGAACTGCAGTGTTAGCTCAAGGGTTCCCAGTGATGCAGGATAAGCTGAATTTTGCCCATAGACAAAACAATTCATATATTTGCTTTGTACAGGGGCAGGATCTTAGCCTCTGGGGTCAAACAAATCATGCACTTGATGTCCTGACCAAACTCCTTCCCCAGGCAAGTTGTAGCTTACTTACTTTCTTGGTACTGCCTTGCAAGTGGAAAGGATGAACTCTGGGAAGAATGAGTAGCAAGGCGTGGCCAAAGTATGTTTTGTTGTTCTTGCTGTCAAAATAGGTCATATGGACGGAAGTCCTATTACTGGGAATGCCTTTCCTTTCCTGGCGGTAGCTTCCACCACCATCTCTGGATGGAGCCTTCAGTGGTAGATGAACACGTGAAGCACTCTCAGGAGTGGAAGTCAGCCTCTGGGGATTGTCCTGGGCTTGAAAAGCCACTTCCCATCTTCTTCAGAAAAAGGCAAAGGCAAAACAGGCAGACCAGCTGTAATATCCCTTATGAAGGACACTCTGCTGCTCCCAATAGCCTGCTGCTCTCAAAAATGCAAAGTCTGTCTATGCCTTAAGCTTGCTTTTGGATAGCTTCACCTTAATTCTCTCTGCATTGTCATCTCACTTTCTGACAAGGTCACTGTGGAAAATGTGGTAAAGACTCTCCAAAAGAAGCCAAAATTTCAAGTAGTTGCTGACTGGAACAGCAAGGACTGTCTGCATCTGAGACACTGTTTCAGAAACAGGGACAAAATGTGCCATCTCAGCAGGTGTGTTGGCCCTTGGTAGTGTCAGGCAAACTCTGCCTGGGAGACAGATAAAAGAAGCAGATGAAAGTCATGGTAGGCATTAGTCAAGAAACTTAAAAACAAGGACTGACCAGAGAATGAGAACTACCAGAAATTCAAGCTGAGAGCATGCTAGCTTCCCTCACTGGAGTGAACCACAGGAAGATCATTCACCTTCCATAGGCTAATTTCACACTGGCCGGTGACAGTAAAATTGTAACTTTGTATTTTGCATTTAATATAAGAAATTATGCTTAAAAAATTACAAATTGCTTTATTAATGTTTTTAATAATATGTCTTCTCAAAGCAGACTAATAAACTTGTCTTGTTATTCCTTCATGACCTTGATGTTTAATTCATGTTTTGGTTTCAGGTTTCTCCAGCCTACTATGTAATTTTGACTACCAGTTTGGAGGTTTGTTCTATGTTGACTCTGCCTCCCATTGAGTTATTTTTTTGCCTGCCATATTTAATCCACTGATTAGTAGTTTTAATGTTTTAAATCACAAAGGATATCTAAATACCACATAGGAAATGAAGGTTTTAAAAGTAGTTTTGGGCTTTATAAACATAAGTGTGGGAGGCCAATTTAATGGAAGCTAAAAGACTGAAAGAATCCCTGATGCCAGCAGAATTCCTTCATTCAGTGTAGCATTGCAATAAAAAAGACAAGCCAAATTCTGATGCAGACAGGAGAGTTCAAGAGCTCTATAAAATTTTATTTTGAGTGTTGTTCTTCCTTTAAGGCCTAATTCCTTCCCAATGATCAAAAATATTGCAATAAATCATTTGAATATGTACCATCAGCTGGGGTTTCATCCAGCTCATGTTTTCTCTGCAAATTAGTGCTGAGGCACTGTGGAGACGAAGCTCTTGTGCTGCAGGTACAAATGGCAAAATTAATGCCTGGCAGGACCATTTGCTGTTTGGCATTAGAGAAGGGATAGGTATCTTGGACTAA